AGGGACCCATGAAAGTCATAATATCACCCTATGTGGGGCTGGGAGAGAGTCCAGAGAAATCCTGTAAATATCCTGCTGAAGTTGTATAGTGACGTTATCAGTGGAAACTTAAGAATCTCTCACTTCTCCGTAAAAAAGAATGATTTCCCCTTTTCTGGCTTGCTGAGAGCCATAGCTGAGTCTGAATGACGCATGGCATTTTTGCCAGAACGGAGTAGTTGAGAGGTGACGCCAGCAAGCCATTGAGATGATAATGGTTGTGTTAAGCTGTGTATATTGGACCCCTGCTGTCCGCCTCAGCCTGCTACTTTGGAGTTCTCGCAGGGATTCCCAGAGAGTTCCCATTGGTTGGGGAAGTGCTGGAGGAGGGATTTCTGGTTGGTGGTTCCTGGAGGAGCTGCGTGGGGTTCGGGAGAGTTCCTGGGGAGCATGTGTGGAATGTGCCAGTGGAGTTCAGAAATAAAGTTTGTTCCTGCTTCAGTGACTCCTGATTTGTGCCCAGCCAGACTGCGGCACTGGCTGGACCATTATGCAGCCATAAAAAATAATATCTGTATGCTGTATTAGTCAGTTTTCTGTTACTGTATTAAAATACCTGAGATAATCAACTTCAAAAGAGAAAAGACTTCTTTGGTCTTGGGATTTGGGCTATTTCTGCCCATGGTCAGTTGGCCCTGTTGTTTTGGGGTCTGTGGTGGCACAATACATCATGGTGGGAATGTATGGCAGAGAGAGCCTGTTCACCCCATGGTTGGGAAACAAAAGAGAAAAAGGAAGAGACCAGGGCCCCACAATTCCTTTCAGGACACACCCCCAATGACCTAAGACCTTGATCAGGCCCCATCTCTGGAAGGTTCCAACCCCTCCCAATAGTACCACTGGCTGGGACCACACCTTTAACACACGGGCCTCTGGGGAGCCTCCAGAGTCACACTCTAGCAAAGGCCAGATGAGGCAGGGGTGAGGGGAGGGGAGCTCACGACTACTCCTATGTACCTCTGAGTGCTGGTCTTGGTACATGGTGACGGTGATATACCTGAGGGGGATTTTCATGGGGTGAAGGCAGGAAGAGGTAATGGAGATCAGGGGTCATGTCAGGCTGGCAGAAGGGAAGGCAGCCTTCATCTCCTGTTTTTCCCACGTCATCTCATTCCTTTTACTTTCCTATCTATCCACTCTCATTCCCCATCCTATACAAGCAACATCTTTTCATTCTTGTGGTCCTGGGGATTGAACCCAGGGATGCTCTACCACTGAGCTACGCCCCCAGCCCTTTTTATTTCATTTTGAGACAGAATCTCACTAAGTCACTGAGGCTGGCCTTGAACCCGAAATCCTCCTGCCTCAGCCTCCTGAGTCACTGGGATCACAGTTGTGGCTACTGTGCCCGCCTCTCTACAGGCAATCATTCTGATATTGCTCTTTTTCCAAAATGAGCATGTTTTGCATGGTGGCATTTTTAATGTCTGTAAATGATATTGTGTTTTTACATCCTTCTGTTTCTTATATTTTTGCCAAGAGCTGTGGGTTTAAGAATCCATCCATACTATTGTGTGAATCCACACTAATTACTCCTTAATCCTTCCAGTGATGGTGGCCCAGGGTAGGGCCCCCAGCTCACTCCACTTTCTTTGTCCTGTCTGAGAAACAGAGAGCCCTGTTTTCCCTGGGATTGAGCCCCAGCAGGGGCTTTGAACATTTCCAGACACCCGTATGAAGCTGTTTGGGTGGTTGCCTGAAACATTGAATGTTCAATTATGTCACTAATCACTCAGGCACCAGCCCCAGGCCTGAGCCAGCTTCCTTCAACCCTCTAGGAAACTCCAGGCCCGACCCCAGTTGCAGACACGTCTGGGTAGAAGGCCTGCTTCCGCAGCCCCCGGGACACAGGTGCCCCTGTCTGTGAGGTGTCGCTGTGATGAAGTATCCGGGGCTGGGCAATTTTATAAAGAAAAGGGGTTTATTTCTCTCACAGCTCTGGAGGTTCAAGGGCTCACGTGTCGTGAACAGCTGTCATGAGGGCAGAATCCCAAGATGGCCCAGGGCATCACACTTCAAGAGCAGGGAGGGCAAGCCACCAGAATGCCATCCTGGGGACCTCACCTGGTGATCCTATGGAATCCTAATCACTTTCACAGTCCCTGCCTCTAAACACCGTGGTCAATTAAGTTCCCACCCTCTGAATTCCCCACAGTGGGGACCCTTGGAGGACCCTCTGTCCTTTCCCAAACCTTAGCAGTCCCCTGGTAAATGGCCTTGTCACCCTGACCTGAGTGCTTCTGTCTTTGGAATGGCAACCGGCCCTACCTCTGGACTGTCCCTTAATGGAATTCTGTTGCCTCCGCTTTGGGGGCAACTCCAGCCATGGGCTGGGCCACATGGACGATGCTGCACACATCGCGGGTGATGTCCCTTCTCCCCCTTGAGAACCTTTCTCTGGGATAAGTCCCGGGAGCAGGACCCCCACAGCGGTGGTGGCTTCTCTGTCAGCGGCCACGCTCGCTGGACCCTCCTGCCTCTGCAGTGCATGGGGATCCTGGTCCCCCACCCCGCCAGCTGGCTTTGAATAGATTTTTAATGTTTGCCAGTTAAATAGCGACACGAGATCCCACTGTCGTTGTAACACGCGGCCGAGGGGTGGTGATCTGAAGCGTGCCTTCTGTCCTAACCCATCAGCGTTCAGTTTTGAAAACCTCAGCCCATTTTCCTCTATTAGGGAAGTGTTCGTGGTTTGGTTTGCAAGACTCCAGAAGTTAGTCCTTGGTTTTGGATGTTGCGAACACCATCCCCGATTCTGTCACCTGATAATATTGGCCCTGGTGTCCTTCATTAAACAGAAAAACCTCAATTTTTCTTTCTTCTTCTTCTTTTTTTTTTTCCTGGTACTGGGGATAGAACCCAGGGCCATTTAAACACTGAGCCCCATCCCCATCCCTTTTTATTTTTTATTTAGAGACAGGGTCTCACTGAGTTGCTTAGAGCCTCGCTAAGTTGCTGAGGCTGGCTTTCAGTTCGTGATCCTCCTGCCTCAGCCTCCCAGGCCACTGGGATTACAGGTGTGCGCCCTCAATTTTAAAGTAATTAAATGTATCAGTTTGGGGTCTGATGCTTGGCAAATTTTTCTTTGGGAAGTCCTTCCTTGCCCCTCCCTAGGTCACAAAAATATCTTCCTACACTGACGTTCACGTTTCACCCTCCCCTAGACTTGACTCCACCTGGAGTCCACCTGCACAGAAGGGGTCAGCAGGGATCTTGTCGTGTTTTTTTTCTCCATATAATGACCCAGTTTTCCCACACCATGACCATGACCATGGACCCACCAACTCCTGTTGACCTTGGTCGTGTGTGAAGTCCTCTAGGGGGCGCCACTGAGCACTCTGTGTTTTTCCGCTTGTCTTCCCTCCTGTCCCCACACGTACACCTTGAACACCTTGACGTCTGGAGGTCAAGTCTTCCTCCAGTGCCCTCTTTCAGTCAGGCTGACTCAGCGATTTGAAGTCATTCATAGATCACCATAAAAATTTCTAGAATAAATTTTCGGAGACTCTATAAAGAATAAGATCAATTGGAATCGTCTCTGGACTTGCATTGAATCAACAGACTCGTTTGTGAAGGATGTCACAGCTTCTCGTCTTCAGTTGTCACTCTGACGGCACAGAGTAAATAAATCGCCTTCTTATTTTCTGCATGTTTGTTATATGATAATGAAAAAATATATTGGGAATGAGGAAACTCGGGCAGAATACAGAACTAGGTGACAAGCCGGGGTGGAGGGACCCTCCCTGTGGCCCACCATGACCACGGGCAGGAGGTGCTCAGACCCACGCTCCTGCTGGGCCAGAGGGACCGGCGCTGACAGTCCTTGGAGGCACTGTCTCAGGTCATCGTCCCCTGCCCATCCTGGGGGGAGCCACTGCGCCCCCTGCGTTGCAGGCCAGGAGGAAGGGACCTGTACCAGGAAGCCAGCTGCCCGGGGCTGTGGTTTGGTTGGTCCCCACCCCAGCAGCTCGCCTGAGGTTTCGGCTGCTCAAGGTTCCCCTTGAAGCTCAGGGTGGGGCAAGGTGACAGTTCTGGAACCCAGGGAACGTCCTGGGGAAGGGTCAGCAACCCAGAGAGGCCAGCCCTGGCTTGGGCCTCGCCTGTGGAGGGGCTTAGCTGGGCGGGTCACAGGTCTTCCCTGGGCCTCTGACTGATCTTTCTTTAAGTCAAAGGCGGGACTCAGGAGGAGGGAGCCAGTTGCTCCTGGGAACTTTGATCCTCAGGGTTGAGGTAAGGACTTGATGACCCCCATTTTATGCTAAGGCTCAGAGAGGCGAGGTGACATGCCAGGGTCACACAGCAGAGGAAGAATTTAAGCCCTGGGTGGAAATACTCAGAACGGCTCTTTCCCAGGACACTCAGGTTACGAGCCTTCACCATGAGAAACAGACATCCCTGAAGATAAGCCCCAAATGTGTCCTCAAAAACACACTGTGGTTCAACTGACCCAATGTCCACGCCCCAGGATTTCCTTTCCAGGAACAGGGTGACTTGCATCAAGTGATCCACCTTCCTGTCTTTGGTGGTCTGTCTGTTTGCTGGGTTGGACAAGAAGCAAGGAGGCCCCTCGGGTGGACACCGGCTGCTGGTGGGGGAGGGGGTCAGAGCCCACAGCTTGGGGGCTGCCGTGAGCATCTGGTCATGACAATGACAATGACTCCCCACCTGCAGGAGCCCAGCTGGAGGCTGGGCAGGGCCAGAGGGGAGAGTAAGGGTGAGCCTGGTGCTCTCCTGGCTGCCAGAGGCCGGGGGCTGCTGTCTCTCCAGGGCCACCTCTGCCTCTGTTCTCTGTGTGTATCAGCCCGTCCCTTGAGTCCCTCTGCCTCGGTTACTCTGCCACCTGAGCTTCCTGCTGAGACCAGCCCATGGCTAGGAAATGGAGAACGAGCTACGGGAAGTGACTTACCCAACCCAAGTCTGGCCTGAAGCGCCCCCGGCTCAGAGCCCTGCAAATACACCCATTTGTTCAGCCAACAAAGATTTATTGAAATCTTATTGGTGCCGATATTTGGCTCAACACGGGCCCAGCCCTGTGCTCAGCTGGGCTGATGGAGGAGCCAAGCTGTTCTGGTCCCTGCCCTTAGGAGCTCAGACTCTCAGAAATGCCCACCTCTGCCCCACGATCCCTCTCCCCCTCTCTCCTGAGTCCCACACACTGAATGAATAGCTGTGGGGAGCCTGGACCCATGACCCCCGCCCCACAGTGACAGCAGATCTGAGGTCGACTGGCCCACCCACCAGGCAGTCACGAAGGGGGAGGGAGGGCTCCCGGTTGACACACACTAAGTGGCCTCTGAGGTTCAATGCCCCTGGGGGGCCTGGAGGGCTGGCAGTTCCCTGCATGGTGGGGTCTGCTCCTCGAGGATGGGCCCAGGACAGGCTAGGCTGGAGGACTGACCCACCCCTAAAACAAACCTCCAGTCCACGACTCCCCCAGTGCCCCAGGGGACAATGACCTCCTGAATGTCCCTCACCAGGACCAAAGCAGAGGTGGGGGGCCAGTCACACAGGGAGGAGCAGGGAGGCCGGGGCCCGTTCCACATGCTGCCCTGCCACGACCCACTCTCTGGGATCAGGACCCAGCGACACCAGAGGTGGACAGAGGCCAGCGGGTGCTCACTAGGGAGGCCGGGCCGGCGGTGAAGGTGTGCTCTTTGCTCTTGGGGGCGGGGGTGGTCTCAGGACTGTAGGCCTAAATCCCTTGCACATCTGCATCCGGGGACTCTCGGATCTGTGGACATATCTGGACGGGACCTTTGAGGCCACAGGATCCAACCCGTTTCCTCTTCTGCTGCGCCGTAAAGAGGAAGCAACCGAGGCCCCTGCATCCGCAGCAGCTGCTGAGGGCACACAGCAGATGGGAGGTGAGTCTGGGCGCAGGGCCGTGGCCACCTACTCGTGGGACACAGAGGGGGCCTGGTCCAGCCGGCCAGTGCCCCCCGAGGAAGAAGGCGTGGAGATCTGACCCGGGAGGTAGAGGATGGCAAACCAGCAGAAGATGAAGACACCTGTTATGGGGAGAGAGACTGGTGAGCCTGGGCTGCAGGGGACAGGCCAGCCTGGGCTGGTGGCTGCCCAGGGCAGAAGGGCTCCACTGCAAACCTTCAAGGACTCATGAAAATATCAGGCAAAAATGAAACCTACTCCTGAAAAAGAACCAAACATAAACCTTGGAAATGAAAAAACAAGGATCTTGAAATGAACAAAACAAAACAAACAAACAAAAAACCTCAGACATCTGTCACAGAAAAGAAAGAGCAAGATAAGAAGAATTGTCAGACACACAAACCTACTGCAGTGGGATCTCCTTCTCTAAAGGATTACTACAGGATGCACTTCAGCAAGAAGAAGGAAGGTGTGGGGTGTAGGAAATTGAATGAGAAACAAAGGCTTTGTGTTTTAAAAAAAACTTGTAACAAAAATACTACACAGCAATAATAGAATTTAGAGGATTCAATGGCAATTAAAATGCCTGAAGTGTTTGGGAGGAAGATAGAAATCCCAAATAACTCAGACTCAGTTGAAATTGAACTCAGTAGAGTGAGGCATGCAGGCTTAACTTCTGCAAGAATAATGGCACAATTTATGATTTCAAGATGTATCTCTCCCTAACTCTTAACCTCTAGAATTTTTCAGAGACAGACTCAACGATTCTTCAACTGAGTCTATCCTCAGATGGTTTTAAAGTAATCATTGCTATTGCTGTTACTACAGTTCCCACATATTGAAGATCTATTGTCTCACACGGACAAGATCATAGTTATTCAACATGAAATCTGGCAAGAAAGTGCTGAGACTGTCCTGACTTTAGAGATGAATGAGGATCATAGGCAATGAATGACTTGCCTGAGAGGTGAGTGAAACTGGGATTGAATCCAGGTGGGCCTGGACCCAACCGCCATGCCACATGGTCTCATGGGGCACCGGGAGCCAGCCCTGGTCTCTCAGGTTTGCACCCATTGCATCTGGGATGACTGGTTCCTAGTGGCTCCCCTGGAAAGGGTGAGTCTTATCCCACCCTTCTTGCCTGTGTCCCTCACGGTCAGGCATGATGTCCCTTTGAGCTGTGTGCATGAATAATTGGAAACCGAGGAGCAAAGAGATCAGGTGTGGGAAAGAAAGTGTAATCCATCGCCTGGGCTTCTCTTCCTTGGCAGGGGGTCTCAGAGGGAGGACCCCACCAGGGCCCGTAGTACACATAGCAATCACTTTCTTCCCTCCTCCTTAGAGACTCTATGTGACCTGCCCTGTCATATGGACACCAAATCACATGACCTTGCCCTCCTCTCACAGTTGATTGGACCAGAGATGGTCACCTGTCTTCGAAGGTCATATAGGGTCGAGGTGGGCCATGTGGGACAGCCATTTGGGGCCATGGGTAGTAACAGGCAAGCAGAGAGAGAAGAATGAAGGAGTTTCCACAAATGCTAAGTGACCGACAACACCAGGCTCCGGAGAAAAGATGGGGACAGCCTCTGCTTTGATTTGGGTGTCTTTCCTGATCCTGGTAGCAGGTCCCATGAAGTCAGCCACCCTTGATGCTCTGATTGTAAGAGAGCCCTGGATATTTAAAGCCAGAGAGCAATCCTGTTTCACAAACCATCCTGTCCCCGACTCCCAGCACCTCCGGGTGCAGACAGGACAGCGGCCCAGGAAGCTCACCTTGCAGGGAGTTGAAGAGGGCGAAGATATAGATGGTGGACAGACCCAGGGGCGTGAGGACAGCCAGCCCCCAGGTCACACCCACTAGGCTTGAGAGGCCCAGGATGGTGAGGACGGCCTTCCAGCTCTGCCCCTGCTCCTTGCCGGCTGTGACACTGCTCAGGGTGAAGATCTTCCAGGCCACCAGGGCCAGCACCACGGCACCAAAGAGGAAGGTGATGAGGAAGTAACCGTGGACAGTGGCGTAGAGGGCAGGCTCTTTCTGGAACCAGCACCTGGAGGAAGTGGATGGCCACTGGGACTGGGGGAGGTGAGCCTGGCCAGCCAGCCCCAGGACTCCTGCCCCTGCTGACCTTCTGTGACCTGGAAGACACCTTCCCCCCACCTCCACCTTCCATGCCCTGCTCTTCCGCTGGGTATGGGGCCTCCACAGGCTCCCCCTTTATTTTATTTATTTATTGTTTTATCTTTATTTTATTTATTTTGTTGTTTTGGTACCGGGGTTTAAACCAGGGGTGCTTCACCACTGAGCCACATCCCCAGCCCTTTCTAATTTTTTTTTTATTTGAGACAGGGTCTCCTTAAGTTGCTTAGGGCCTCACTAGGTTGCTGTGGCTGGCCTTGACCTTGTAATCTTCCTGCCTCAGCCTCCCGAGTCGCTGGGATTACAGGCCACAGGGCCCAGCTCAGCTTGGTGTCTCTTTAGATAATGGTGCAAAAGGGCCAGACGAACTCCAAAGGCCTGTTCCGCTTGCTCCATGTCATGTTGTAAAAAATATGAATTTGTAGCCAGTTGGGTATTAATACCCAGAATTTTGCTTCTCCTGTAAAACCACTCACAGGCTGCCCTGCGGACGCCCTCCCTGGAGGATAATGATTGGCAGCCCCTTAGATGGACAGGGGACTCCCCCTCCACTGCAGAGCCCCGTGGCCACCATGTGCACTTATATGACTTATTGGGCTTCTGAGGACCCTGCATATGGGGCCCTGTGGACAGGCCCAAGGCTGCTCCAACCCCTCCCAGCACAGAGCAAGAAGCCAGGGCTTCCTTGGAGATCACTGGGTAGAAGTCCGGAGGCTCAGCCAGTTCCACCACTGCTCCCTGCACCACAGGGCTAAAGGCCTGAAGGGTATGTCCATCAGCTGCTCCGGGGTACAGAAGAAGAGACTGGGGTCCCAGTGAGGACAGGTTTTCCCAGGGTCACACTCACAGCAGTTGGGGGCAGAGGCTGACTGGGCCCAGGGATGCTGGGAAAGGTTGGGCAGGTCATGCCCTGCATGAGGGCACCTGGATGAGGGTCAGGCAGGGGCTGAAGTCTAGCATGCCCTGCACTCACCAGGCTGAGAACCAGGCATGGGAAGGGTGTCACCATGGTGGCTGGTGGTGGCCCGGGGCAGAGGGGGACATCCTGCCTCCTGGCCCAGGTCTCCGTCTCCCTTCCTGAGGAAGCCCCCTCTCCCATTTCACTTCCTTTCTGCAGATTTCAGTTTTCCCCTGTGCCACGAGCCACCTGGACCTGAGGATCCTTCTAGGCTTGACATTCTCCGTCTGATTTCCTAGGATCCCCTCCCCCACCTCCCTAGAGCATTAATACGTGACGCTAGAGGCTCCTTATCACCCCGTCTCCCGACAGCCCCCACTCACAGCTCCAGAGAGGTGCGGTTCTCCTGGTCGCGGATGGTGTAAAGGCCATAGCTGTTGGCACTGCCGGTGCCAATGACCATGAGGGCGGGCAGGCCTGGGCACAAGAGCAGGAGGTGTGGCATTTCCGGGCTCCCTTGGCATGTCCTCCTCCAAATCCCCTCCAGTCCTGGCGGAGCGGGAACACCCTTCCCTCTCCCCAAGGCTGCCCCCCTCTCTCTCCCCCAGGACCGCGGTCCCCTGTCCCCCTCCACGCAGCACCTACCCCAGCCCACCAGGCTCAGCTTCAGGTAGTAATGGCCGAAGTAGGTGTTGAAGACCTTGATGACGAGGAGGTAGAGGTGGAAGGCTTCCAGGCCCATCCAGGTGAAGGTGCAGAGCAGGAAGTAGTGGAAGATGGCTCCCCGGATCCAGCATGCAGCACGGGACCCCGCCGAGCCGCTGCCCACGCTGACCAGGAAGGCCAGATTCAGGAGGAACAAGCTACTACTCAGGGCCACGTGGATCTTGGGGGCATCTTCGGACTTGAATCTCTGCAGGGAGAACCTGGGGCCAGAAGGACCAGTGAGGCCCTGGGGGCTGCCGCTCCCACGGGTCACCCAGGCCTGTCCACCCCACCATCTAGGTTCCACCCCGACAGCCCTGGGCTCTCAGCCTCGTGGTCAGCTCCCGTGTCCATCTCTGCCAGCAGCCAGAGGTGAGTACCCTCAGGTTCAAGTTCAGGAGCCCTGCTGTGGCCCACAGGGCACCCTGGGTTCTGGAGTCTGCCAGCCTCATCCCATGACTCTGGGCTTCAACCAGCTGCATAACTTGCCGTCCCCTGAGCGCAATTTGCTTTCCTGCGCCTCCCAGACTCGGCCATGCCCAGCTCTGTTCTCAAAGCCCTTCCCTGCTCCTCAGCAGCACCCCCTGTGGTTCCCCGACTCTTGTTCTCCTCCCAAGCTCCCCCCGGGGACAGTTCCTTCTGGGGAGCTGTCTCCATACTCTCCTGACCTGAGCCCAGGCTGATCGGACGTTTCCAGCAACACAGTGAAACGTTCTCCTCTCCCCTCCCTGAACCATAGACTTAGTCCTGGCACAGGGCCAAAAGGGGCCCAGAGTTCATTGTTGGGTGAGTAGATGGGCATGTGGGTGAACAGGGGTAGTAGGAAGAGAGGCTCATAGAGGGACAGGGACTTTCACAGAGTCACGGAGCCTGGCCCCAGCCTCCCTGCTCAGTGCTTCTTTGCAGGGCTCGCCTCCCCCCCACTATGGAGACCTCCCTCTGAATTCCTAGCAAATTCGATCCAAAAGGGCTCTTGACACTGGGAGCCGTGGCCCACACCTGTAATCCCAGGGGCTCCGGAGGCTGAGGCAGGAGGATCGCAAGTTCAAAGCCAGCCTCAGCAAAAAGCAGGGTACTAAGCAACTCAGTGAGACCCTGTCTCTAAATAAAATACAAAATAGGGCTGGGGGTGTGGCTCGGTGGTTAGTGCCCCCCAGTTTAATCCCCAATACCCCCCGCCCCCCAAAAGGGCTCTTGCCTGAGGAATGGGAGTGTGGGGCTTCCTGGAGGGGGCATGAGGGATAAATGTCCACCTCTCCTAAGTTGCCAGGCCCCATCTTGGTGACATTCTTCCTGGTATTCCAAGCCCAGCTCACAGGCTCTGGCAACACAACCAGGTAGAAAGTCACACTCGGCCAGTTGGGATGGGGATGGTGTCATGGAGCAGAGCTTGGAGGGGTGGGGTGGGTGCCACATGGGGGGTGGCCTGTGATGGAATGAGTGGGGCTCTCGGGGGCTGCAGCCTAGGGCCACGTGGGATGGAGGCAAAGGCTTTGAGAAGGGCAGACAGGAGACCCAGAGGCTGCCCCATGGGTCGTGGTGAGCCCGGGCAAGGCCCCTCCAGGAGCGGATGGGAGGGCTGGGCTGCCGCTGCTCCCACGGCTCTTCCGAGCTGCCAGGAGAGCCAAGTGGCCGTGCTCTCACTCTGTGCTTTTCCTGTGCCCCTGCCCCCTTCTGGAGACAGCCCCAGGTGTCCCTAAGAACACCCTGCCCTTCCGCGCACTCATCCATGGCGGGTGAGGGAGCTGGTGGCTGGTCCTGTCCGCTCCAACTCAGGAGCAGGCATGAAGCCTGGCCTGGCCAGCGAGCGCCCTCCAGCCCCTGACCACAGTGACCCCGTGGGCACAGGGTCCAGGTTGGACCAGTGAGACGGCTCTGGTGTAGGCACAGGGTAGACGGCGTGAATGGCCAGTTCCATGGGCAGGTGACCTCGGCAGGGCCTGGAGTCACACAGGCCCCGGGCTGGGTTACTGCTCTCCTGACCCCGTCCTGGCAGCTGAATAACGCCTGAACAGGGAGCCACGTCGTCTCATTTGGGAACAGGTCCTGCCGCTCCTGCCCGCGTACCCGTGTGTGTTTAAGATGATTAAAGTGGGAGGAGATCTGTGACCCACCGTCACCTTCCTGGCTCAGATACTCTACAGTTTCATAAGACGTCACCATGGGGGAACGCTGTGGGGAGGAACTATGGACTCTGTGCTATTTTTCCAATTTCCAGTTAGTCTATAATTATTTCAAAATAAAATATGTTTTTACAAAAGACCAAGACTGGGGACCTTTTTTGAGCCTCTGGATCTAACCCTGCCTGAAGCCCCCACATGTGAACCTCATCTGCCTTATCATGGTTTGTTAAGCCAATCTGAGTTGCTGCCACTTGACACACTTCAACCTCCACCCTGCTTCGTGGGCAAGGAGACTGAGGAGCAGTGAGGGCTCTACCCTGCCCCCCGGAGGTGTGGGCTGGGCTGGGGCCACCCACCTCAGGGTAAGATAGAGGACAATGGTGAAGGCCAGGAAGATCATGGAGACTCCACAGCCTGCCTGGGAGATGTGAGTGAGGACCTGCACGGTGGCCCGGTCCAAGACGGGCCTCTGTGGATGACAAGGACGACATAAGAGCAGGTCCATGCTCCCCCAAAGCCCTGGCCCTGTCAGGAAGCCCCTCCCTGGGGCAGGACTACGGGGGTCACAGTGGAGTGGGCTTTACCAACAGCAAGGCGAAGAAGGTCAGGTGGTCACAGTGGCAGACAGTCCCCTCAGCTCCGAGCTCGGTGGAGCAGCCCTTGGAGTCCCAGTCCCCTGCAGGCCCTGGAGGGGAGGAGAGGGGGACCAGAGGAAGGGAAGGGAGGCCCCTGAGGGTGGGACTTGCCTCACCCCCGTGGGAGCCCACAGTCTCCCTCTCTCTCACCCCAGAGAGGGTCCTCCAGGCCTTACCTTTATTCACATCCCAGAACACACAGGTGAGGGTCGCGTTCTGAAGCCAGAGGGTGGAAGTCAGGAGAGAGGAAAGAGGCTAGGGCGGGTGGAGGAAGGGGGGAGAGGACACCGTCCCCAGGCCTAACCTGGGGTGCATCAGGGGGAAAGCCGCCCCGTGGGTTGCACAGGAAAGTGGCCTGCACCTTGGGTGTGCCTGGACCGATAAGTGAGGGACACAAAGATGGCCTGGGGCTGTGGGTGGAGGGTCTGTGCGTCTGCACCTGCGCCTTTAGGGAGCGCAGTGGGCGGGCGTGGGAAGCTGTGGGCATGCAGGCGGCTGGCCTGGCCCTCAAGTGCCCGGCTGTGAGCACAGAGGGTGTCTCTGTGAGGTGTCTCTGGCACAATTGTGTGTATGTCCCTAATGGCTTCTCTTGGGCTGATGGGAATGACAGAGGGCACAAGGTCCCACATGTGTCCGCACAGAGCCCCGGTGCCTGTGTGTGCCCACCCGCCTTACTGCCTGATAGTGACTCCAGGCCCCAGGTAGGCACTCACCGGGGGCTGACGCTGGTGGGAGAAGGTGATCTCCAGAGGCTCTGGCAGCCTGGTGACAGGGGTGCGACCCACACTCAAGCCCACCATGTGGTTGTTCAACACACTGCTGCCATCTTCCAGGCGAAGCTGGGGGCCCTGGGAAGGGGAGGGGGTGGGGAGGGGGAGGGGGAGGCCAGGCTGCAGCAGGGACTGCCCCAACCCCTCCTGGCTGGAGATCCAGGATCCTCCAGGACCTGGGGCCCTTGCCTCGGGGGCAAAGTCCGAGGCCCGTGCTCCAGACCAGCTGATCACAAAGCCCTGCACCCGAGAGCCCTCTGCTGTGGGCCCCAGCTCCTCTGTCCTGTTACCCAGGGGCTCACAGGGCTAAGATCAGCCGAGAAACCAGGGGCAGTGGGTGTCTTCAGGTGGCTGAGCATCCACACCCAGGAGACCCCACATCTGTACAGAAGTGGCCACACGCCTCTGGGTACACCCACTGGGTTCCCATTTGCAAGAGTGAGAGCTCACCTGTTCACTGACTGTGGTCACATGTGAGTGGTGCAATTGTGTGTGTACAGAAATAGAAAAGGACGCATGTGTTTGTGCAAGGGCACATGAGCGCGCTGGCGTCTCATATGCAAGCCAAGGGTTGCTGATTATCGGGCGGTGGAGGCTGCAGTCCATGCCCCCTAGAAATGGCTCTGGATGACCTGGCTGCTCTGGGGACACTCACAGGGCTTGGTACCTCCCTCCCCCAAACCCCAAGGTCTCCAGCCAGGCCCAGGCTGGTGCACAGGACCACGGAGAACCCAGCATTGAACCTGAATCCTCACCTTGAAGAGGTCTCCAGCACCGATGTCCAGAACAGATATGGCCAACCGGACTGCAGACCTGCTGCCCGGCAGGGAGGCGAAAAAGCTCCTGGGAAGTCGGACTCTGTCAGGGGGCTTGTCCTCGCCCATCATCACCTGCCTCGGAATCTGCAATCACAGGTCAGCACTCCAGCCCCCATGCAGGTCCACCATTGCTCCAGTCGGAAGGGAGACTGAGGCAAGCTGGGCAGAGGGGCAGCACTTACAGACCATCCCCCCCGAGGGGCAGGACACTGGGCTTAGGCCAGGCTCTGTTCCTCACAGTCAATGACACCTGTGTAGCCCCAGTGTCCCTAGAATAGAAAACAACCACCTGCCACCGTGGCCACCTGCCAGGCTGAAGGTAGCTCCTGAGAGAAGACCCCCTGGGCGGCCTCAGTTTGCAAGGAGGGGGAAGGCCAGCAGTTGAGAGCCGTGGGCCGGGACCTAACATCCCCGTGCTTCCACATGGCTCCATGGTGACCGTGTCTGGCTTCCGACTCAGGAATAAGTGGAAAGAATCAGGCCATCAGGAAGGAAGGTCAGCAAGGGAGACAAGGGCAGAGGTGCAGGACACACACATTCACTGAATGAAATCCTTCCTGCCCAACCTCAAATTGTTTAAAAACGAAGGATGCTCAGAACATTAGAATAAACCCCAGTGGTGATCACAAAGCCCACTGTGTTCATTCCCTGATCTCCCTGGCTCCCGGGGGACTGCAGCCTGCTCCCCGCTGGTCCCTGCCTCAGCAGCATCCCAGGTGGATTGGAATAGAGGAGCTAAGAGTTGGAAAGAAAGGCCCCCATTTTCTCGTTCTCAGTCCAGACATTGTTGAAAGGACCATGCCAGGCAGAGGTGAGTGACATAATCAAGGGTGGAGAAAGACCCTCTCTGTCTTCCCCTTTCTCCAGAAAGAACCAAAATTCCCTCAGGGATAACCAGCCTGCCCAGCTGCCTGGTTCTTCACCATCAAATCCGTCCCCTAGGCAGGCTGCTGGCCTGGGAGCTCCAACTTTACCAGTGTGGGCTCGCTCCTCCAATCGCATACAGAGTGGCAGCTCCATCATTTTACCGCTAGGGAAACTGAGGCTCAGTAAAGTCATTTCCTCATAATCTTAATGGCTGGTAAGGGGCAGAGCTGGAATTTTTTAAAATATTTTTTTTATTTGTTGATGGCCCTTTACTTTATTAATTTATTTATTTTCATATGGTGCTGAGAATTGAACCCAGAACCTCACACGTACTAGGCAAGCGCTCTACCACTGAGCCCCAGCCCCAGCCCCCTGAGCTGGAATTTGAATCTGAACCAATGTGGACGCAGACACACCCCCTTGCCCATTTAGCCCTTCTGCTGCCAAGAGTATCCTCCCTGGTTTTAAATGTGTTCCCTGGGCAGCAGAGCTCACGGGGATTTTAGACTTGGAGAAGCTTGAGAATTCATCCTACCGATGAGGATTCTGGGGCCCAGAGAGGGAGAGGGACTTCTGGGGACATCCAGGGCAGAAGTGGGAAGGCCAGTACCAGACACTGTTCTCTGGACTCTCAATTCAGTGATGTCCCAGAGGTCTCCTCCCACCGCCCTAGACTGTCTAGTACCAGGTCCACTCATCCAGGTAACTCACTAGTTAACTCACTAGCACCCGTTCACAAGGCGGGAAAGTTGTACTGAATGGAACCCGGGAGGGTGAGGCTCTCACAGGCACATGGCACTGGACATGGCTCTCTCAGAATCTTTAACTGTATGCCCAAGGACAACAGGGTCAAGGCCAGCCAAGGGGCTCGGGAGAGCTCTTCACCTGAGAGGGTTTCAGAGAGAAAAGCAGATCTTCCGAGGTGTCGGTGCTGAAGTTCTGGACCAAAGCCTTCACAAAAGGCATATCCACTCTGTCCTCCAAATTCTTCTCCACCAGGTAGAACTCGTAGTGTAGCCAGTATCTGCAAAGGGCCAGGGTTGGGGGAAGTAGGAGCCTGCAGGCTGAGTCACCCACTCATCTGACCCAGAACACCAAAGATGCTGGGGTCACTGCGGGGGAAGACGGGTGGCTTGGGAATAACCAGATCAGTCCTGAGGGATTCCAGCTAGGGGTCCCTCCAAGTATTTTATGTGTTTATCTTTTCTGTGATAAAAAAAAAATAACAGAATTTGCCATCTTAAAGTGTACAATTCAGTAGAAATAAGTACATTCAAAACGTTGTGGGACTGTCCCCACTATCTAGTTCCGGAACACTTTATTATCTCAAAAGGAAGTCCCATATCCATTAAGCAGTCACTCTCCCTCCTCAGCCCCTGGCAACCATTAAATTTGCCTTCTGGCCTCTATAAGTCTGCCAATTCTGAATTGTTCAGGCAAACAGAACCATACAGGAGGTGGTCTTTGGCATCTGGCGTCTTCGTGTGGTGTTATCAAGGTTAATGCATGTAGAATCATCATCATTATCTTATTTCTTTTTATGAATAAATATCATTTCCTTGTATGGATGTACCATATTTTGGTTACCTGTGGGAGGCCAACCTTACGGGTGACTGAGTTACACTCCCCAGCTGGGTGCTGAGGCGCTCAGTCACAGAAATGGGTGTGTCTTGCTACAGCCCCATGGGTGAAGCTATGCTCACCTGTTCCTTTGTAATATAACCCCTTGCCCTGTTTAGGATAGAATCTTCCATGGAAGGGCCTTGTGTGTGTCCCCTCCTCTTACTGTGCCCTTGGGTGTGGCCTACCCAGGTGTCAGTCAACCTGCTGACAGTAGACATCATGAAGATAGACTCAGCCCCCTGAAACCTGATCCCTTGCCTCATTTGAATAGCTTCTCCTCAATAAAAGGGGTCAGTGCATGCTCTCTCTCTCTCTCTTTCTGCGGACCCTTAAGGTCAGAGGAGCCGTCACAGCGACCCCAAAGAAAAAGGTATTTGTGTCTCTTGTGTGGTTATTTCGTGCAGCCCAGTTAGCCCAGTTTAACTAGAGTGACCCCTGAGCCTTTTAGTCGCGAGAACAGAAACCCGGCAGTTACCCATTGATGGACCTTTGGATCTTTCCCACTTTTTGGCCAGTGGCAAAATTACGAAAATCCATGTGCAAACTTTTGCCTAAAGATTTGTTTTCAATCCTTACACAGAAATAGAATTGCTAGGGGACGTGGTAATTCTACATCTAACCTCTGGAGAAGTTGTCAAACTATTTTCCACAACAGTTGCGCCATTTTGTAGTTGCCTAGCAACATATGAGGGTCCCAGTTTCCCCACATCCTTGCCAACGCTTAAAACCTTTCATTTTGGTTTCATTTTATTTTTAATTTTTGCCATTCTCATGGCCTAAATAAAAGGCTCATGGTGTCCCAGAGTTTTGATTTTCACTTCTCTAATGACCAGTAGATGTTGAGCATCTTTTCACGGGTGCTTATTGACCTTCTATATTTAAAATCTCCCCCAGGCACATCAGCACACTTCTTGAGTACTAACTCAACAGAGAGAAGTTTGGTTTTTGAGAACTGAGCTGCATGGGAACCGCCTGGGAACAGAGCTGGTGTTGGAACCATTAAAACAGGAATTAACTGGCATTCATTTTGTCAAGGCCACTCAGTGGCGCTCTCCGTGGTGCTGAAATCTCACCGTGCACCAGGATCCTTTTCCTAGGCATGGAGTCTCCAGAGCTCCTGCCAGCCTGTTCTAGAAATTCTGAGCAGGGGAAGGCTGAGGTAGTCATGGGACATAACGGGGAGGAGTGGAGATATGACCAGATGAACGTTCTGGAAAGGAGTAACCATGGAGGAAAAAAGGGAGCCTTTTATTTTGCCATCATTCTTGAACAGTTGCTGTTATGAAGAGCAAAAAAAAAAAAACTCCCATACATTATCCCCAGAGACTACAGAAAATATATTGTGCAATAGAAATAGCAAACCATGCAAATATATGCACACATGCTTTGGTGGAAAAGGCATGAGAAAAGCAACCAGCCAGACAGATGGTCCAAACCCACTGATTGAGCTACACCAATTGATCCTAGCTTTCATTTACCTTTAAAATATCTAGACAAAGAAGTATGGTGACTTTTATTGCAATCAAATAAAATAACAAATTGTAGAAGTATTGTAATTTTGTTGCCACATAAAACACTGAATCATATACATATATATTCAATTCACTATATATATTCACATGTATTCAATTATATATGCATATATATATACATATACATGTATGAATATATGTGTTTATATTTATACATAAATATGTTTATATATATACACACACATATTAAATTCATGCACTTAAACATAATTCCTTTGCTTTGCAAAACAACCCAATTCACTCCTGAGGACAATTTTCTGATCTGATTCTCAGGTGTAGGAATTCTTATAATTTTATGTGGCCTCAGCATATCTTTTTTTTTTTTTTTTTAACCCAGGGGCACCTAACCACTGAGCCACATCCCCAGCCCTTTTCAGTTTTCATTTTGAGACAGGGTCTGGCTAAGTTGCTTAGAGCCTTGCTAATTTACTGAAGCTGGCTTTGGACTTGAGATCCTCCTGCCTCAGCCCCCGAGCCTGATATTACAGGTGTGTCCCCTGTGCCCAGCCTAAACATACATTTTGAATATCCACTGGACTTTCTCTTAGCAGAAGCAGGCCTCGCCCTTGACACAGTTTCCTGCTCTCCAGCTCCTCCAGTTCATCCATGTGCTTAATCCAGTTATCCACCTTGTACAACTGTCTCTTAGTGACCACTTCCCTCTGGGACAGCCAGAAACATCACACTTGACTGGCGCCAGTGACCCACATCCCCCAAATGAACCATGCAGACGTGCACAATGACCACATCCCAGTCCTGCATGACCTACTAGAATTCACGCCTATTTCCTTTAACCCCACCAATAACTCCCCTGCAGAAATGCTTGAATAATGCCTTGGACCCCAAGGAAATCTTTGACACATGGATGTCTCTCTTTCTCTCCCTGGCTGCACTTCCTGAAGAGTGTGTGTGTGTGTGTGTGTGTGTGCACGTGCACACACATGCACAGTCTCCAGATGTGCCACAAACTCTCCAGGATCCATAAGTATAAAATATTTATTTCTATCTCATGTCCCTCCTAATTATTGAAGAGTGCTCTCCATTTTAAAGATCCTAAATCACAACATCAGCCCACTTTAAAATATTATTTTAGTTGTGAAATGGGATACATATTTAAAAGTTTAAAGCATAGATGTATGATTAAATATTATTATTATTATAATTATTTTCATACTGGGGATTGAATCCAGGGGTGTTTACCCACTGAGCCACATCCCCAGCCCTTTTTATGTTTTATCTAGAGACAGGGTCTCACTAAGTTGCTTAGGGCCTCGCTAAGTAGCTGAGGCTGGCTTTGAACTCGTGATCCTCCTGCCTCAGCTTTATAAGCCTCTGGGATTACTGGCGTGCACCACCACACCCAATCTGTTTAAATTATTAATCATAACATTGGCACTCATTGAAGTATCACCTTCTTTGATATGAATACAGCTACTTGGATTTCCCCTGGTTTACTTCAAATGTATTTTTTTTTCACATTGTGCCTGTTTTTTCTAAATAAGTGCTATGAGATTCAAAAATGTGTCTTTTACTTTGAAGGGCTCTCCTCATATTCTCCAGACCTCCAAATGTCCAGAAACTTCTAGGCCTCGCACTCTTGTGGGGTTTCTCTCCTATCCTGGATGTCTTCCTGAGGCACATTAAAGATCATCACGGTGGTTCTTATGAATAATGTCCCCACGGACATCTGAATTCCAGTCTCTATGGACATGTTTTCCTTCCTTTTAGGCAGATACCTAGGAATGAAGTCAGGGTCCCATCAACTCAGTGAATGTGAACAGATCCCCTCAAGGTAAATGACGAGGCTTTGGCCTTCACTCTACTTATTTTGGTAAAACAGGCCCAATGTGGGGAAGAACCCAACATGCAAACGCGCCTCATCAGATCTACTCAGCACACCAGGGGGAGCGCAGAGAGGAGCTTGCAGAACGTCAAGATGAAGAAGGTCTCTGTGAACTCTTGACAGAGAGCAGGAGAACTGGGAGCGCCCAAGTAATCACTGTGGCAGTATACAGTTGGCGCTGCAAGATTAAAGTAAACTGTTTACTGAAGATTGGTATGGAGAAAAAGCATTAGGCATGTGTTTGCTGTATGCCCATTGCCAGGGGCTGGGTTTATGTGCTGGAGCTGGCACACTCATGGGCAGATGCAGGTGGCTGACCCCCCTGAGGAAGTTCATCCTTGCCCCTTGGTCCTTCTTGAAGGCCACCTGACCGATGGGGAGTTGAGCAGGGCAATGTCACATCCCTCCTTCTTTCAGGTCTTGGATGGTGGCAGTAACCCCTATCAGTTCTTCCAGGGATGTGGTTTACTAACTCAATTGGAAGATGTACCAGAACCTTCTATTTAGCCTTCCATGAAATGCCTCTCAAAAGCAATTCAATGGACAAAGGACAGACTACCCTTTGTCTTTCATCCAGTTCTTTGATGAAAGAACTGGCTATCCAAATGCAAAAATGGTAATTACAGTAATAATGATCACAACATAAAGTTAGGCATTTGTCTCACATTGTGCACAAAAATTAATTCTAAATGGATAACCCAATTATAAGAGCTAAAATCAGACCCTTGCAGAGGAAAACTCAGGAGAAAAATCTATGTAACCTTGGGCTAGGTGAATATTTCTTTGATACGATATTAAACACACATATGCAAATTTAAATTGGGTTTCATCAAAAAACGCTTTTGATCTGCAACAGACAGCATTAAGAAAATGAATAAGACACTGGTAGAAAAATATTTGCGAATCATACATCTGATAAAGGACTTATTAATAATAATGAGATTGTTAATAGTAAGAAGGCGAATCAATAAAAAGGGGGAAAATTTAAATACTCCTTTCACCAGAGAGAATCTACAAAGGACTCATAAGCTCATGAAGAGCAGCTCAGCTTCATTCCTCATTTATGAATGCAAATTAAAACCACAGCACAACATCACAGCACGTGCACTGGAATGGCTACCCCTGAATACACTGGGGGGAATTCAAGTGTGTATTACAATCAGAGCCTTCTTATATTCTTAAAGGGAATGCAAAGGAGGCAGCCACTTTGAGAAACAGCTTGTCAGTCTTTCATGACACAAAACACGCTTAACCGCGTAGCCCAGCAATTCCATTCCTTAGTGTCTACCCCACCCCGCAAGGGAAACCATATCCACAAAGAATTGAGTTCCAACGTTCATGGCAACGTTATTCAAAATAACCGAGAACTGAAGTCGATCCAAGTGCCCATCAATTGGTGAATGAATACACTCAATGTCATAGAGCTATATGATATGTATATTAGAATATGCTAGAAATATGATTGGAACTCAATGCATGCCAAGAGAAAGCAGCTAAACCCAAAAGACCACCTGTTGTATGGATCTCTTGAGATAAAATGCACAGAAAAGGCAAATATCAGACAGGAAATAGATCAGTGGTTGACCGTGGCTAGGAACGGGGGCTGGACTTTATGGCAAAGAGATACAAGGGTACCTGGGTGGACAGTGGGGAGGTGTTGTAAGCAACTGTGGTGACGAGTCCACACTCTGTGCAAATGCACTAGCAATCATTGACCTGTGTAGATGGTGTGGGATATATATCCCAATTAATCTATCAAAATTAATAGAAGCAAATGATACACAAGTATATACTCGGCAGGGGCTAGAATTTAGAAGATGGATAATATCAAGCATCGCAAGGATGTGCGTAGCTGGAGCTCTCACACGTGACTGGAAGGAGTGTAAGTTGATAACACCCACCACAGAAACTATGGCAGTGCTTACTAAAACAAGCCACATGCCCATCTGTGACAGAGCACCTGCCCAATTCTCTCACTATTGGCCCAAGAGAAATAACACGTTCCAAAAAATGTTCACTCCCAGTGGCTTGAGAGGCTGAGGCACCAGGATCGCAAGTTCGAAGCCAGACTCAGCAAGGCTCTAAGCAACTTAGCAAGACCCTGTCTCAAAATAAAATATAAAAAAGAGCTTGGGATGTGGCTCGGTGGTTTAGTGCCCTTGGGTTAAATCCCCAGTATTCAAACAAAAACAAAACAGAAAATGACCCAGGCTCCCAAAGAGCCTTAAATACACAGATAATATGTCCTTGAGATAATTTTCATAGTTCTGAAGCTGCACCGTCTGAGTGCTGCCGGTGAAATCAAAACCCTCTATGAAGCTGAGCAGAGCTTCCGCAGTCTGTTATTTTCCTGTAGGGGACTGTAGACATAAATGGGAAAGATGTTCCATACAGCTTTTAGAAGAATAGGAGGGCCTCTTCATGGGCTAGGGATGGGTGAGAATTTCGTAAACAAGACAGCAAAAACTTGACAACCCGCCCTATAACAAAATGAAGAACTTCTGGGCTTAGTCAAGACAGCACCGAGAGAAAGAGGTAACCCACAAGGAGGAAGACTATGATTCCCATGCGTGTATTTGTAAAGATAAGTATCAAGAACATGTGAAGAATCCCCCAAAATCAAAAAGAATAATTTAAACAACTTCATAGAACAATGAGCAAGAGGCTTAAAAGGGGCGCTCCGCCAAGAGGATATCTAGATGCCAAGTGAGCACGTGACAGGTGGGGACCTTGAACGTCATCAAGGAGCTGTCAATTATTATGAGTTACACTCGGAACCTGCCACATGGCTCAAGTGAGAAAGAAGACCATACCAAGTATTGACAAGGCTGCAAAGCATCTGGAACTATCATAAGCTGCTGGTAGGAGTGAAATTTGGCTCAACCATTTTGGATAACTGCTTTGCAGTTTCTACTAAATTTAGTGAGTGGGTCATACGTTTACCCTCTGACCCACCCTGCCTAGGAAAATACCTTACAGAAACACATGCATTCAACAACATACACCATCAGGAATGCTCATAGAACGCTCTTCATGTTGGCCATCCACAAGGAAGACTGGATAAATGAGTGGTGAGTCATGTGTGACATAAGAAGCTAAAAAGAAATATTGCAAAGTTAAAATGATAGCTGTCCCTGGATGGTAAGATTAAGGGAATTTTTTTCATGTTCCTTTCCGCACCTATTTTCCAAATATTTTGTGATGAAGATATATTTTATGAAGAGAAATATCATTAACATAAATAACACTAACATCTGTTGAGTTCTTACTCTTCACTCATAGTTCTTACCCGCATTAGCTAATCCTCTAAGCTCCATGATAACCCCCTGAAGAAGGCAGGAGAGCCCCGCAGCAAAGGCTTTGGATCAGCATTAAAATGACAGGGCTGACCGGGGACATGGGGACAGTTGACATGTCTGGGTTATATATTCAGCCCTCACAATGGTTCTAAGGGGGAGGTGTTATTTTAGTCCCATTTTACAGTTGGGGAAACTGAGAGCTAACCCGTCCAAAGGCCAGTGCCACTTCTGAGCTCTGGTGGTCTCAGTCCAGCCTGGGCCACACGAGGCCCCTCCCTCACGTCCTTCTGAAGCTACAGAAGCAGCTGCGGGTGGGGATGGGACCGTTTTTCAGGCCACCAAAAGAATGTAGTTCCATCAGGCTGCTGTCCCAACAGCGAGCCTGAGAGCACCAAGTTTTCATTCATTCCTTCAAGGAGTAATTGTTGAGCCCCAGCTGGACGCCAGGGCCTTCTGGGGGTATTCGGAGGGGCGATGGGTGGAGAGAGGCAGGGGTATCTGGGGAGAGGGCTCTTGAAGGTGCGTTCTGAGGCCCTCCCTCTCCGCTCCCCCAGCTCACTCTCGCTCCTTTCTGCGATTTCACCTTGCTCGTCTCCCGGGGCCACCTGTCCTGCACAGGCGTGGGTCTCAGTCTCGGTTCAGCCTTTGCTGGTGTCCACCCCAGGCCTTGCACACGCTAGGCAAGTACTCTACCACCGAGCCGCCCCCCAGCCCTAGTCACGGTTTCTAAAGTGCCAAGTCGTCTACACTCTTTGGGGGCTTGACAGTTGGCACCTGCCTGCTTCCCCAGGTCAGACCGGCTTACATAGCCCCTTCCTCCTTGGCCCTTGCTTTTATTTCCAATCCTATTCCCCTGCCTGTCCCTCTTGGCATCGTGGCCTCCATCCCCAGAACTTTATGCTTGGCAGCTCAAAATCCTGTCGTCTTTCCCAAATACTCTGAAAGTCTGATCACCCGCCACTGCCTGGGTTCAACCATAAAACTCCTATGTACTCTTCAGAACCCTCCTCCCTTGCCCTTTCTACAAAGGCGGGCAGACTTTCCTGGAGGACTACCTGGCACCTGTCCACCCTTCGGTCATACACTGGAGTCACCGTCAGTGGGGTTCATGTTCATGTCCGTCCCTCTACGACTGCCAAGGACAGAGACCCATTCATTTCTGCATCCCTTAGGTCAGGAGGACCCCCACCTAGCAGAGGCAGAGAGGAATCGCCAGGGGTGGGGGCTGCGACAGGGGGATGCGGGTGTTAAAAACAAGGTGGAGGGGAAGGTGGAGCCGCACCTTTGGAGACAGACGTCGCATCCTCCTAGTATTTCCCCTCCCCCACCGAGCAGCCCCGCCCCCAGGCCTCACCTCTCCAGCTTTTCAGGGTTGCAGGAGACATTCCCCAGCTGCAGGCACCTGGCAAAGCACTCCCCGGTGCGGTTCAAGTAGAAGGGGTCGTACTGGTCCTGGATGTCCACCCCAAGACAGAAGTTGCGGGGCTCTTCAGGGCCTGCCCCCTCGCCTAAGGGAGGGATGTGGAGAGTGAATGGCAGGGTGGGCGGGGCACCGGGGCCAGGAGGGACTCGAGAGTCTGTGATGGGGCCTGGAGCCCAGCCTCCTCCTCCACAGCGACGGTGCATCTGGCTGGACTCCGCCCACCCTGACCCCCCCTTTCCAAAGTGAAAGGAGACACCCCTGCCACCTCACAGGACTAGTCAGTGTAGATGCGGGAAAGATAGACAGGCAGATGGACAGATCACTTACACGAATTTACACTAATAGGATCACTTGGTGATATATCTTGAAGAGCTTTTCATCTCAGTCTTTATATAGTTGCATACTATTCCATCATATGGATAGCAAGACAATTTTTCACCTCGTCCCCTATTGATGGTATTTAGGTTTTTGGTTTGGGGCTTTTCTTTCCTTTTCTATTTTTACAAGTTGGAACAATGTTGCCATGACAATTCTCAAGTGTGCATCTTTGTCAGCTTGTGCTGAGAATTCATAAAAACATTCCTATCATAGGAAGTGCTAGATCAAAATGTATGTGTTTTTAAGCATTGCTAAATACGTGGGGGCTGGGTGTGTAACTCGGTGGTAGAAAGAACCCCAGCATGGCAAAAACAAAACAAAACAATAAAACCAAAAACAAGCCAGATGTAGAATACATGCTTAGCAGGTGCAAGCACCTGGGTTCAATCTCCAATGAATAAATAAGCCAACCTTGTTAAGAACTATTGAATTTTCCTTCAAAAAAGCTGCAGTTATAAGTACTCCCACCAAAAGTGGGCAAAAGTGGCTATCTGGTCACATGTTCATAAAACCAACTTTTACCCAACTTCAAATTCTTGCCCATCCAAAAGGTGAACTTGAGAGTCTCATTCTAGTTTTAGGAAGGAGTCGGAGCAACTGTCTGTGTATTTGCTGGGCACGCAAATACTTGCTGGTATCTTTCCAAGGACTGCTTTGCCATTTGCTTCACACACTGGGGCAGGAAGGGAGTCTGGGCTCTGGGCATCTTCATCTTTCAGACCAGCCCACCTGGAGCAGTTTCCAGAGCCAGGTCTGGTGAGGTGGGCAGGGGGATCATTTAAACACCCTTCTCTGGTGTTACAATTAAAAAACTAAAAAATCACATGCAGTAGTACTTTCAACTTAAACTAGTTGGGTTTTAATATTATTCTTATTGTTGTTGTTATTATTATTATTATTTTAGTAGTAGATGGACAGACTACCTTTATTTTATGTATTTGCTTTTATGTTGGTGATGAGGATTGTGCTAGGCAAGTGCTCTGCCACTGAGCCACAACTCCAGCCCCTGGTTTTTTATTTTTAAGACAAAAAGTGTATGGGGAATGATACTGGCCACCTTGTATGGACATATGGCCATGCATGTATGAATATGTAACAACGTATCCCACCATTGTGTATCATTATTATGCGTCATAAAAAAAACGGGGAAGAGAAGTCCGCGGTAATTGTCATGGCAGAAAGGAGTAACCACGGGTTAAAAAGTAACATCTTACAGTTGATTTTATAATAGTCAGATCTATATGTGACGATGTTGTCTTCATTAGCTTATAAAGGAACTGCCCACTTAGGTTAGCATGTGAAGATTAAAGGCAGGTGCTCCGAGAGCCGCCCAGGGTGGGATCCTTTTCTGCCCTGGAGTAAAGGGTGGGTGGGGAGGAGGAGGGAGAAGGGGAAAGAGGGGGAGTGGAAGCTGACTTGGGAGGGAGCCGCCCTTCCTCCAATGTCCCAGCCCTGCCCAGCCCTGGTCTGCCCCAGGCACACAAATGTGCAGGAGCAGAGAGGCCCAGGGCGTGGGGGGACACGGCTGCCCTCTGGGGCTGTGCATTTCAGGAGGTCCCTACGGAAGCTCTTGGTGAGAACCCAGCTCAAAGAACATTGTTAAATAGCTTTTTGTGATTATTGTTTTTACCATGTCAGAAGCACTTAGCCCAGACAAGCAGATCCCCCAAAGGGCCTCAGTGTGGAGAGATGCCACCCACCCCTCCAGACGCCCCGCCTGGTCCACCCACACTGCCCCAGGCTGCTCTGTGTGGCCCAGGGAGGGGGCAGAGGTGAGAGGGGAGGCCAGGGCGGCCTCCAGGCCTCCTCCCATGCCCTCCAGCCCCTCCCTCCTGCTCACCAGCCTCACTTTTCCTTGGGGACACCTTCCTCCCTTAGCCTTTAGACTCGGGTACTGAGAGCTTTCCTCAGAAGAGCCACTACGGGTGTTTGTCCCCCTCCTCCTCTCCCACCTTGGAAATGTGCCCTTTATGATCCCTCCATTACCCCCGAGCAGGCATCTGACCCCTGCTCAGCCTTCACCCTCAACCTCCACATGCGGGTCCCCAGCACTCACCCCAGGGTGAAGCACCCCTGTCTGTCTGCTAGACCGTGAGCCCCATGGGAGTAGGGACCAAGTGGCACAAACACAGGATCTATGCAGGACACCGTTGGTGCTTCTCGAATGAATGAATGAGTAAATGACTGAGTGAATGAATGAGTGAGTGAATCAATGAGTGGATGAGTGAGTCGCAAATGGGGACTGCCCCATAAACATCCCCAAAGGACAGAGTCTCACCTCTAGACTTGAACCTGCCGAGCTCCTTATGTCATTCAAATGGCTTCCCTTTCCCCCAAGCCCAGAGACCCCACACCACCATCAGGGACACGCCAGAGGAGCCTTGAAGGCCCGACAGCAAAGTATGGCTTTGGCGAAGACCCAGGTCCTAGGACACTCGTGAGGCCCGGTGATAGCCATCTCCCACTAAGTTAGCTTAACTGCCCGCACTGTGCCAGGCCCTTCCTGCCCACCAGAGGGGCAGCGCCACTGGGCACTGTTTTGAGGCAGAGACAGAAATTTGCAAGTTGCTGGGTCTCCCAACATTTGAAGAGAAGAGGGGGCTTTGTAGCCCAGAGAGGCTGGTCAGAGCCTGGGCCCCTGCTTGCTCCCGCTGCAGTGAGTGGTCAGCACGTCTGTCTCCCTGATCCCAAGCTCTGAGGTCGGGGCACCTCCTGCTCCCTCTGCCTGAACCACACCAGCAGCTAAGAGGGGCACACAGAGCAGGCCGGGGCGGGGGGCTGGAGGAGGGCTTCCTGGGAGGGAGGACAGCAAGGCAGGGCCCCAGCTTCCAGAGGCCCCTCGAGACCTCCCGACCCCACCTCTGTGTGTAGGGGCAGGAGGCCTCTGGGTCCAGCTCGGGTCGCTGAGGACCTTGGGACACTTGGGACACAGGGAAAGTGAGCCCATGAGGAGTGGGTGGACGGCCGCATTCAGAGTGTCCCCCAACCCCCTCCCCAGAGTCCAGAGACCAGCTGAACAGCTTGTCCCAGAGCAGGCCTGGGAGGGAGCCCAGCTGGGATGGGGTCACTCTCCATCTTCCCCACCTGCAGGGCTCTGTGGAGAACAAAGGGGGCCTGCGACCACAGGATGACCACAGGACCACCGGACCCACCCAGAGGGACAAGCCTGGAGGAGGCCCGAGGCTGTGAGGTGGGTTCCGCAGGGGACATGCTCCGACCCCCCTTCCCTTCCCGCCTGCCCAGCCCACGGCTCTCCCCCTCCCTGCCCTGGGCCTCTTGCAACACAGGGTCTCCCAGGCTTGGCAGGAGGGGCTGAGGCGCCAACGCTCACCTGAGGCCAGGAGCAGAAGGAGCAGGGTCCCCACGCCCCAAGGTGTCGCCATCGATGGCTGGCAGAGCCCTGCAGCTGTCTGGTCCTTTGGTCCCCAGCTCTGTCCCTCTGGTCTGACTCCCCACTGCCCACCCCACTGTCACTTCCGGTGACGGCCTCTTTCTCACCCTTCCTGCTCAGTGGCGCCATCGCCATCAGTTGTGAAACGTGACTATGGGGAACTAGGCAGTGTTCCCAGTGTCACAGGCCCTGAGACCCCCTGCAGAGGGACCCAGACTGAGCCCCACCCAGGGGCTGCTCCCACGGCCTGCCAGTGGGGCTAGAGTCGGTGGCAACAGGGGACTCTGTACCAGAGCAGACCCTGGGAATGGTGAGCGACGGCCCCGGGTCAGGGCTCCACTCAGACACCTCCTCTTGCAAATGGGGACCTCATCTCCTCCGCAAAGCGCTGGTGGCAGTAGGTAGCCTCCTAGGTGGGGTCAGGATTTGCTGAGACAAGCCAGGCACCTGGCCTGGCTCTAGGGATGAGGTCGAGATGCTGGGCTGCCCCCCACTTTGAACGAAGCCGGACTCCAGCCCACAGCTGCTGGGGGCCTGGGAGGAGAGAGGAGTGGCCCCGCCGACCTGCTCAGGATAACAGGAAGGACAGGGAGGCAGGACGGTGTGGGGCAAGAGCACGGGCCCTGGCAGGGTGGTCAGGCCTGGGCTGACGTCTGTCCTAGCCACTTCCTGGCCAGGTGACCCTGCCTGGGCTATCTGCCACTCACAGGGCTTGGGAGGAACTCATGACTGAGGCAATGGGGACTTGCTGGTGGAGGAGGGGCATTATCACACTGTCACTCGATGGTAATCAGTTCTGTGAATTAATCGTCATCCTCCCTAGACTGGTTGCTGCTGGCCCAAGCGGGAAGTGGGGGCAGCAAACACACGCCACCCGGGCTCCAACTCTGTGGCCTTGAGGAAGCCACAGGTGAGGCCAGGCCTTTGGTGTGTTCCCACGGCCACTCGGAATTCAAAAGGCAAAGGGCCCCCGTGTGTTGTCACCAGCAACCCCCAGACCCCTGGGGCGGAGGCTAGCCCTGTCGTACCTTGGGGAGCTACCAGGCCTTCCCTTCCACAGGGCGTCCGAACAGGTCTCTGCTGGGTCCTCTGGGCCTGGGGAGGGGTGGGGACAGAATTCAGGGTCACTCATGGGCTGTGGGAAGCAGGTGGGAATCCAGGGCAGAGCAGCAGCTCAGAACCCAGAGTTCCTGGGCCCCAGAACTTCCTAAGCAGGGAAGCTGGGACCCGCTGGACCTGCCGGCCTCACCCCGCCACACAGGCAGGGGTGAGGGGAGGCCTCTGTGCTGATGTGCAGGGCCGCTGCAGAGCCCCACCCTGAGCCCAGGCCCTCAGGGGACCAACAAGTGCCGGCTTGTGAAGGGCCCAGAGATCTGCAGCCAGCCCCGTGGGAGAGGGACCAGGGGTGCTGGGAGGGTGGTAGGAGGTCAGGCAGGACCAGAGGAGCCCCCAGGACTGTAGCTCTTCTGGGAAAGACCCTGTGAGGGCCAGGGGGCCACTGGAACCACTCACAGAGCCCTGGGTCCCCTAAATCTCAGGGCCAACAAAACTGTGGCTACTTCTTCCACTACCTCCTGTCCCCAGCTTGTCCCAAAGGCTCTAGGAGGGCAGGGCCTCAAGCCCTCTGGTCAGACCTGGCCAGTATTCACCCATAGGCCATTCCATCCAGTTCCCATGCCACAGGGACACCCACCTGGTCATGTCCTGGGGGAGGGTGATCCCCTGGTGGTCCCCTTCCACAGCCCAGGAAGAATCCTCAGGGCCCCAGGAGCATCACAGAGCCTATCAGAAGATGGGACCGGACCCAAGACCCCTGAGCCAGCCACAGAACTATGTTCAAGAAAGAGGAGGGCTGAGGGGAGCCGTGCTCTGCCTGGGGGTGGGGTGAGGAGGAGGTGCCTCGCCCACCCCACCCCCAGCCTAGACCAGTGATGAGGCCCAGAGACCCTCTCACCCTGGCAGGGAGGCCTGCGGGACAGGAGCTGGCTCTGCTCCACCGGGCTGCCAGGCAGGCCGCTGGGTGGGGTGAGGGTGTCCTTGGGAGGGGTCGAAGGTGGGGGCAGAGGCCACCTGAAGGAGTGGAGCTGGGAAGTACAAGGGCTCCTACATACAAGGTGCCCACAGGTCCCCAAAGATCCCATATCCATGCCCTGCCTGTCTACCACAGCCACCACGGTGGCCTGGTGCCATCCTGCCCCACCGCAGAGCCCCGGGCCTCTCTCCCCTGCCAAGCTCCCCCTTGCGTTGGCCACAAGAGGAGGGAGAAGGCTGGGTTGGGGACCGGGGGTGGGGCTCTGACCCCCACCACAGTGGGACTGCATACCTGAGCACAAATAGTGGTGACCAAGGTGACCTGAAGGGGGACAGGAGCCTATGAGACCTCCTAATCGGGGTCACAGGATGGGAGGGGAGATCTGGCAGAACCCAGTTTAAAGGCAGAGTGGGGTGCGTGACCCACCCATCCCATTCCCGTAGCCCACTGCTTCAGACTGGCCTCTAACACTGACCACCTGCACCCCTGACCTGCGAAGTCAGCTCTCACGTGTCACCTCTCTGGCGGAGAATTTTTGGATTTGCCAAAATTTAAAAATCAACAGATTTAGCAACCCAATCTGGATTTCTCTTCAAAGGCAGTGATCTGGCCACAGGGGCCCTTGTCCCTGCAAGCACTGACCAGCTGGGGTCAGTCACTCACAGCCCCTCAGCTCCTCCAGTTCCCCACGGACCCCCTAACCCCCACCTCGACCTGCCATTTGTCCTCCTGCCCTCCCTGGCCAATGTTACCAGGGGCTGGTGTTTCCAGCGGCTGACTTTTCCCCCCACACTCCTCTCTTCCCTTTCCTGTTCCCTGATTGGCCCCGCGGTGTCTCTATCAGTGACACTTTTAATACAAGTACAAGAAAAAGCTGCAAAGGAAATACTCCAAGACCCCACACTGGTTTGTTAGACAATACGAACAGCGGATTTTTATTCTCTTCTTGACAATCTTCTGAAGGTTCCAAATTCTCTACAACAGACATACTTCTTTTAATATCAAAAGACACAAATTGCTACTTACAAAGAACATCCTCGAAAAGAACACCAAAGAACCCCTCCCCCATCCTTAAGAGTGAGATGTAGAAGGGACGCTGCCTCCTGCAGGGAGTCCTCCTGGATTCTCAGCTGCAGCTCTGGCCCCTGATCCGCACCTGGGCTCCGGTGGCTCCTCAGCTGTCAGCGTAGGCTTCACCTACCAGGCCAAGACTGTGCAGAGGGCGTGGCCAGATCCGGTCATCTGTGTCCCTACCATCCAGCCCAGGCTGGCAATGGACCAGCGTGGGTTTATAGGCAGAATTCACCATGACGGTGTGTCCCGGCCATTTGCAGGGATTTAAGGAGACTCCTTAGGAGGCATCAGGCTCAGGCCAGTGTCCCCAGAGCAGGACAGCCCAGCCTTCGGGATGCTGGGATGGAAATTAGACGAGGCTCCTGTGTTCCATAGTTCTTGCCATAGGAGGGCAGGGCTGGCCCCTCTGGAGTGTGAGCAAGGGGGGAGGCAGCTCAGAGAGAGGCCCAGCTGGATGGATGGCCGGGCCAGGCAGTGGGTGGAGGGTTAGAAATATGTTGGCAGATGGGCAGAGCGACTGGGGGGCTGGTGTTGAGGCAGGACTGGGCTCAGGTGGGTGCCCTGCAGCTCACTCTGGAGAGGAGGCCTCTCCTCCAGCGCTCCGGCTCAACACTCTGCGTCAACCCACTGGCCCCCACCCTCAGGTTAAAAGGACAGGAGCTTCAGGGTGCCGCCATGGTGATCACCAGGGACCGAGTTGCTACCGCCATGTTTTTGTCCTGGGTAGGGGCACAGGCTTAGGATGCCTGTGGCCTCCATGACCCAACGCCTGAGCCTGGGGCCTGCAGGTCCCACCCAACAATGAAGGCTGGGCCCTGGGGTGGGCAGGAAAGACAAGGCTTCAGCCCCAGTTCAGACAGCTGTGGGGACAGTCCCACAGCCTCCGTGGCAGTATGGTGAGCCCTTTGGAAGCTGGACCTGGGAGCCGAGTAGTCCCCAAGGCCAGATGGATGTCTGGTTGCCGTGGTGACAGTCCGTCCTCCAGGGTCCTCGGCCTTCTCTGGCCGGCCACTGGCTGTCAGAGGTGGTGCTCAGCCTGGGGGCCGTGGGCAGCGCGAGCAGAGGCCTCGTCTCTGCGTCCTCATGCCGGGCAGCAGGGCTGGAGGCCTAGATGCGGCTGGACGAGGTGCTGCCCGAGCTGATGGGCAGCCGGGCGCTGTCCGAGCTGCTCTTCAGAGGGGAAGGGCCGCCGCGAGCCTGCAGCCGCATGGACCAGTACCAGAGGAAGATGAGGAAGCCTGCGGGCAGGAAGCAGGGCAAGGCTCGAAGACAGGGCTCGGCTAGAGGACAGGGCTCGGCTGCTGGGGCAGCCCCACAGGCCCCTTGAGCCCCTCCCAGGGTCACCTCGACTCAGATCTACCCTTCGACTCAGAATTCTCTTGAGTCCCTTTCAATTTCACAGGCCAGAAAATGAAGACTCAAAACTTAGGAGTCTAGATGGTGTGGAGAGGGGAGAAGGAGGGTGCAGGAGGCACCACGCCCCACACCACGCCCCACACCACGCCCCACACCACGCCCCACACCACGCCCCACACCACGCCCCACACCACGCCCCACACCACGCCCCACACCACGCCCCACACCACGCCCCACACCACGCCCCACACCACGCCCCACACCACGCCCCACACCACGCCCCACACCACGCCCCACACCACGCCCCACACCACGCCCCACACCACGCCCCACACCACGCCCCACACCACGCCCCACACCACGCCCCACACCACGCCCCACACCACGCCCCACACCACGCCCCACACCACGCCCCACACGCCTTGCCCCACACCACGCCCCACACGCCTCGCCCCACCGGCCACGCCCTCAACGACCACACCCATCGACCACGCCCCAAACGGTCACGCCCCCAAATGGCCACGCCCTCACCGGCCACCTTCAGCCACACCCTCACTAGCCACACCCTCACTAGCCTCGCCCTCACTAGCCACGC